GAATGAAAGAGATATACACATAACCTTGCCAGGGAGCCAAGTTATTAAGGAACAGGTAAATGGTTTTCCAAAAATATATTTGAAGAAATAAGAAAAACATCCTCAAATTAACTGAATGCTATATCTTTTTAAAGTTTGAATATGAACATTAGGAAGGATCAAAGTAAAATGAACAAAAATTTGTGGTTACAGATTGTTATATCCATCTAGCACAGAGATACTTTTAAATTCTTCTTACCTCTTTGAAATGATAGTGCTTAATTGCTAATAAACTTTTGCAACTAACAACTTACTATACAGTCTAACTCTGTTTCTTAGAATTAAGACAATACAGGGTTATTTCAAACAATATAAAATTTATGGCTTTAAATAAAGTTAGGATGAAAAAATTTAGTAGGCATTCTTTCACATCTCTAAACAAATTGCACATAATTATAAACATATATTTAAAAATAAAATTATTATTTATTTGAATTTATTTAAAAGAATACATTTTGACCACTAGTGTGCCTGCTGCTTTTCTCTTTTATTATTATTTTATGAAAATTCAAGACAGGATTCACCAGAATGGAAGCTGGAGATTCCGAGGTTGTAAAGAAATAAAAGCAAGTTTAATAGGTAGAATCAAGGAGAAAGCCTTTTTCTGATTTCTTGGCATTACAATATTTAGCGTTAAGTTTTGTGAATTGTTGCTTATTTATGTTTATGTATGTCAGTAGTCTTTTAGAATTCTATCTTTGAACTGAAGTTTAATACAAGGTCCTTTTGTTAAATAACTAAATTTAAGACTTAGTTAACTAATTTTAAAAGAAATGCTCTAACTTTATAACTGATAACTTTGTAACTTACAATTTTTATAAAATTATAACAAATAATTTTCAAAGAAATGTTCTGATTTTAGAAAACTATATTAATTCTTCATGCTATTGTGTGTTGAGTCATTCATTGAAAGAAAATTTGTCTAAATTCTACACTAAATGAAAATATACTTAGGTGTGTTAAGGAGAAGTCTCAGAAATTGTGACAGAAGAATTACATAATCCCCTAGAGAGGAAACATTTTCCAGGATAGAAGCTCACATAGTCCAAAAATTATTTAATCGTGGATCATGATCTAAGCTATTAGACGGAGTATGGAAGTAGCAATATAGTTCTTTATTTATTTAGATTTAACTTCCAGGGCTTACATTATATCATTTCTGTCTCTTGGTTAGAAGTAGGAAAAAGATAATTTAGTATAAGCTAATTTCTGACAAATAATATGACATGAGATGTTCAGAGGTCTTCACTCTGAAAATTAACCATATTTTGGTAACACCAAAACTTACTCAACATTTCTTCTAAGGAAAGTGACTCAGTATCTGAGTGTTACAATTGCAAGTGAATCTGCCTTCTGCCTATGGGAATGATAGAATGATGATGGAAGAATGTGATGAATCAGAATTTTAAAAGCCACCAGAATTCTACCTTGGCAGCATTAGTGTACAGAACTCTTATAGAGATCCAAATGCTGTATCGGATTGTCTCAGAAAGCATAAAAATCCAGTTTCCAACAGTGATTGAATTTGCTAATTACATCTAAGGTCTATGCACAGTCCCTATTCATTGTAATATCTGACAATTTCATAAAATAATCTATTATTAACTTGATTAGCAATATATATATATCACTAATATATTCAAATACATATTGTATTAGTATGTTTATGCATCCTAATATAGAGATATTAGTAGAGGGAAGACTTACCACTACCATCTTCCTGTTCAATAAGAGTTGGTGTCAAATTCTTTTATTATATATTTTCTGTTAGTGGGGATGGCAAATGCATGAAGTTTGGTACAGTGAGTTTATCTTGAGCCATAATCCTGTCTTGAGTACATAAAAATCTATATAAATTTATGTGCATATATTCAATCTTTGTAATTCAAGATAACAGAGCTTATCATTTCTAGGCACAAGGCTTAGCACTTTGGTAACATAGATACAAATATTCTCTAGGTATAGTGAATGGTGAGTAAAGTTAAAATGGGAATTAGAAAGATTTCCAGGATATTATCACTCAGAAAGATATATTAAAATAAAGAAAATGAAATTCAATATGTACTTCAGAATCTCAGATCTAGAGCCTATATCTCTGCATTATTTTTATGCAAAAGTTTTGTGATCTATTAAATCTATTTTGAGTTCTGCCCATGAAGATATATTTTAAATAAATGTTCTTCTTTTACATTGGAATATCTCCCAAATCCCCCACACCAAAAAGAGAACTGTGAGACATACCAGTTATTAATACCAGTTATTAAATCAACAACTGGGCCGGGTGCGGTGGCTCATGCCTGTAATCCCAGTACTTTGGGAGGCTGAGGTGGGTGGATCACAAGGTCAGGAGATCGAGACCATCCTGGCTAACATGGTGAAAACCTGTCTCTACTAAAAATACAAAAATTAACTGGGCATGGCAGCATGTGCCTGTAATCACAGTTACTCAGGAGGCTGAGGCAGGAGAATCGCTTGAACCCAGGAGGCAGAGGTTGCAGTGAGCCAAGACCTTGCCACTGCACTCCAGTCTGGTGACAGAGCCAGATTCCGGCTCAAAAAAAAAAAAAAAGAAAAAAAAATTAACAACTATATAGAATTAGTTTGGAGCTAAAACAACATAGAGACCGGAATTTCAGGTAGGCCATCCGTTGTTGTTTTTGCTGTTGTTTAAAGGCATGTGAAGAACAGAAAAACAAAACAAAACAAAAAAAAATCAAGGGATTTTAGCCCGAAAGATAAAATTGTCCAGTTTTAGGAGAGGAATGGAGGAATGGTTAGGGATTATAGGTTATAGTTACATATTTTAAGGTTATTATTTGGATGAGGAAACATGACAATTCCTGTTTACCTAATGAAGAGAAGTTCCATAGGGTCAATGTGATTCAATATGTAGGATGCCTTTCCAAGTGATTTCAACAATAAAATAGATTGCCTAGTGAGTGGTGTTTCCTCCACTGGAAAGATTTCTTTATTATAGATGGAAATATATAATATAATTATGTAAATTTAAAATAAACCTTTCCCAAAGATATTTAATTCCCAGATATAATTTTAATATATTATTTAATAGATGATTTGATACATAAATAATATTTATTGGGGACTTGCTATGTATCAGGCAATTGTGCAAGGATCTTTACCAGACATAACTTTTCTAAGTCTTTTATAAAACTCTGCATAATAAATACAGCTTATCATCAATATTTTAGAGGACAAAATTGAGGTTTAGAGAGAAGTAACCTGGCCAAAGTCACATAGTTGGAAAATAATAGAGTTGGTTCTCTAGCAGAAAAAGATGAATATATCTGCCAGAGATATTGTAAAAAACTATTTTATACTAAATAAGAAATAGAAATAGATGTTTCCTAAATCCCAGACACGTTAATGGCAGAAACCATTTTTTCCAAACGTTTGAATGGAAGCAGGCAAGAGAAAACACCACATATTGAGTTTTTTTATCTCAATATTTTTTGTATATCTCTTCCACAATATCTATAAAATATAGATACACCATAAATAGCAATTTAGTCAAACTGGTCTCTTCGGACAGTATGATAGGAATACTTGGAATTTAAAAATAAATATGTTTTCAGTTTTTTTCCTTTAATCAAAGATTTCTCAATACCAACCTGTTGTGAGACAGATATTACTTGAAATGACAAACACGTTAATAATAAAGGGATGCACAACTGTTTGCTCTATCTTTCCCTGATATTTCTGCATGTCAGTTGCTTTCCTGAACTGGAAGCAAAACATATTTGCTTCTTTGGGTATGCTTATCACCTTCAAAGCCATAACCATTTCTTTGCAGTGATCACTTTGTTTAGGTGTTAAATCAAACAATGGAAACTTTGAGTTTAACCCGAGTGAGATTTTCACATTGGAATGAATCTCATGAGGATCTCTTTAAGGTCACTGCCAAATTACAAGATGTAATTTGAAAAGTAAGTGGAGCAAAATTATATCGTGCTGCTATCTTAATGCCTTTCCCTATTTGCTCCCCCTCAGCATCCCTAATTCTTCTTGTTTATTTTCCCCCCACAAGAATGCCCTCTCTTTCTGACTTTTAAGTAGAACAAATGAGTAACCAAGTATGGTTCAAGAGAGAGAGTTCACTTTCTTGCTTCACCCTTCCCCATTTTGCCCCTCCCTGTGTGCACTCTGTCCTGGCTTCCTGGTTTTAAATTCTGGATGATACCTGGCAATAACAGAGAGACCATTATACTTTCACCTTGAATTCCAGGTTTCTTTTGATTTACAGTCTCAGAAGAAGTATCAGCTCTTTAGTCATGTTGTTTATTTCACATTGAACCATCCCATTTTGAAAGCCAGCGTTTCTTATCATTATAAGGCAACCGTGTTTATAAGAATAAGACAAGGCTTCCTGCTGAGAAACATGCTCCTTTGATGGGAGTCAATGAAACTAAGACAACATATTCTGAAACATTCATTCTTAAACTGGCTTTTCACTTCTGGAACTGCATTTATAAATAAGGGTAAATGTGTTTTATAAAAGAAACTCTTTTGAGGTTACTGGCAGCTCAGCTTTTTTCTTTTTTTCAAATATGTATACAAGAGTAAAAAAGAAACTGATCTGCATATTAACACTATCTGGAATAATTTATGATAAAAATCAGTAGGATTCTAGTAGATGAATGCAAATTAGACCTTTTAAATCAAAACCTAAATTAATCATTGAGTTATAATTGCAAAGTAATATTATTCTACATTAGGTAGCATTGGGTAGCATCGTTATTTCAGTCATATGACAGAAAAGGGCCTTGACAGCCTATGTTCTCCCCTTTTCACCATTTAAAATACTAATGATCATGCCCCTGGCCTCTCATCCAGTCAGTGAAAAGTCAGCCTATTGCTCAATGGCATGAGTAGCCCAGTGTTTTCATTTATTTGTTGTTCTATTCCTGTGTTCTTGTTTATCTTCATTTCATTTTTGTTTTCAGTTGACATGTGGTCAGTAGGGTGCATCATGGGAGAAATGATAAAAGGTGCAGTGCTGTTTCCTGGCACTGATCGTATCCTTCTTAGCAGCCAGTGGTATCTATGGGTGTCACTCTCAATTAATTCCCTTTTGTCTCAAATGCAATACTGCTTATGGTATTTGTTCACTGTCCTTGGAGAGTTTCTGCGAGACTCAATGTCAAATATTTACAAGCTGGCATTATGGCAGAGTAACTTGGTCTCCTAGTAAGATCTTATGTGGATAATACAGTAATAAATATGAAAGAATCAATCTGATATCAAAAGGTCTGCCTTAAATCAGTTCTATCAAACTAATAACTTTGAGTACTATTCTTCCTTCTTTTTGCTGTTGTAGATGTTTCAAAATTAAGATATATTCATAGCTAGATAATAAATAACAAAGTCTTTCAGTTCTAAGACTGAAGATTTATACTTTGATATAATGAGAAATATTCATTTGGCATGGAAATTTTTATCAGATTCATGTTCCTCCACAAATACTAATTGGTTTATTTTGACATATATTTAGAAAGCATGGATGTGAATTTCATTTAAAATTGATCAACTTTTTCTAAAATTACTTTTCTCATTCACTCCATTTATGGGAATAATAGCTCCAATTCCTTCTCTTATTTTCTGCATATTATTAACAAGTGCAATACTTAAAACCTCATTAATTAACAACAGTTATATAAAATATCTGAAGAACTACATTGAAATCACTTGAATAAGTAAAAGTGATTCTCTCTTAAGCAGCAAATAATTAACAAGTAAAGATCAAGGCCAGATGTGGTAGCTCATGCCTGTAACCCCAACACTTTGGGAGGCTGAAGTAGAAGGATCAGTTGAGCCCAGGAGTTTGAGACCAGCCTGGGCAACAGAGCAAAACCCCTCTCTCTACAAAAACAAAAACAAAAAATTTAGCCAGACATGGTGGCAGTACCTGTAGTCTCAGCAACAAAGAAACTAGCCGGGAGGATAGCTTGATCCCCAAGGTCAAAGCTGCAGTGAGCAGCGATCATGCCGCTGCACTGCAGCCTAGGTAACAGAATGAGACCCTGTCTCCAAACAAACAAACAAACAAACAAACAAACAAAGAGATTCCAGAGGTTCTGCAGTATTAAATATATATGAATAGTGTGTGATTAGTGATTTGTATATGGATGTATCATGGGTCCTAGCATCAGGCTTAAAAATAAGTTACTCCTTTAGTTAGTTAAATATCCCTGTACACTTAGTCACTTACGAAAGTTTTATGTCTTCGTCCTACTAAAGGTAAAACCTCTGCTTTAATAACATACTTCAAAAATAAAATTGAGCCTATAATAATGGGGTTTTAATGTGTAATTAGACTAAATCTAATTCCTAATATAGTGCACCAATACCATATTATGATTAGCCATTTGCATTGTTTCTAATACCTACATTACAATTTTTAATCAAATGCCTACAATGTAATATACAAAATCGAGGATTAATATTTATATCTGGTTTTACATATATATACATATATAAATATATATATGGTTTCATACATATATTCTCTCTACATATTAAAAGAAACAGTTCTAGAAATGATTGAATTAGGCACTCAATTTTTGTTGGAAGAAAGAACTTAAAATACTTTAGTTAAAAATAAAGTTACACTGTTTTTACTTCTGATTATTCTTACTAAAAACTTTTTTTCTAATCTTCTATTTGACACACATTTTAAGAAGTCTTTCTGTCTAAATTGCTGTTTTGTCTTCTAAATATACATTTTATTAAATGACATCTATAATTTACCACATCAATGTTAATGCTATTTGAAACTATGCTGACTTTATAAAAATTGAATTCCTTCAGATTTCTTAAAAATCAGGAGGAATTTTAAAAAACAGGACTTCTTTTATTCCCAATGAATTATAAACTTGTGTTGGCCTTTGGGCGTGAATATGAAATTGTCTTTAAGTTTGGCTGATTTTAGATAATTTGATGAAAATAGATTCAATTTGTTAACCTCTTGCTTTTCCAGAAGTTCATTGTGGTTGAATAATTGGTGACTGAAATGAATATTTGCCATCTGTAAATTAAAGTGAATGTTTTTATGACCTTTGTTATGCTTCTATGAAGAAAAATTAAAACAGATTTCTACAACTGAATTACCAAATACAATTTAACATTTTTTAGAATAGTTCATGGGAAAAGTTGCTTGTGTATCATTTTTTAACTTGGGTGTCAAAATTCCTTGTAAACAATGCTTTAGGGTTCTGGTAATGTGGCAGTATCCCGTTCAATGCCCTTGATATTTGGAAATGAAGTCCTTTATGGAGCTCTTTTATGGGGACATATTTGTAAATTTCTTGGAGGACGAATACGAATCATTTTCTAAAGTATGTCTTCTGATTGTGGGCTGTGGTCTCTTAATTATTTCAAACATGTTGGGTCAAGTTTTAAATCAGTCTTTTTAAAGCAAACAAATTATGAACACTGAATATCAAACAATTAACCTCAACATGTAAGACATTACTGATGTAAAAAATACTGTTATTAGAAATAAGTTATCTGAAAAGACAATAAAATTATACCTAAATCTATTAGTTAAATAGAGACATTAAAATAGAGCTGGATATATGCCATATGTATAATATACACCTATATAATACATTATAAGGAGTTATTTTTAACCAGTATATCCTCATTTATATAAAAGCACTCTCAAAACAATGATTTCTAAAAGCTCTTGGAATATGAGCTCTGCAAATCTTTTTTTTATTTTTAATTTTTCTGGGTACATAATAGGTATATATATTTATGGGACACATAAGATGTTTTGATACAGGGATGCAATGCATAATCATATCATGGAAGATGGAATATCCACTCCCTCAAGTATTTATCCTTTGTGTTACAAACAATTCAGTTATACTCTTTTGGTTATTTTAAAATGTACAATTAAATTATTATTTACTATAGTCACCCTGTTGTGCTACCAAATACTAGATCTTATTAATTCTTTCTAACTTTTTATTTTAGCCATTAACCATCCCCATCCACCACCTCCTCTGCTATCCTTTCCAGCCTCTGGTAACCATCCTTCTACTCTATCTCGATGAGTTCAATTGTTTTGATTTTTAAAATTAATTTTAATTTTCGTTTTAAGTTCCAGGGTACATGTGCAGGATATGCAGGTTTGTTACATAGGTAAACGTGGGCCATGGTGGTTTGCTGCACCTATCAACTCATTGCCTAGGTATTAAGCCCAGCATGCATTAGCTATTTTTCCTAATGCTCTCCCTCCACCCACCTGGCTTCCCTGACAGGCCCCAGTGTGTATTATTCCCCTCCCTGTGTCCATGTGTTCTCATTGTTCAGCTCCCACTTGTAAATGAGAACATGTGGTGTTTGTCTTTCTGTGCTTTGCTTATTTCACTTAACATTTTTAAATGTATCACATTTTCTTTATGCATTCATCTCTTGATGGATGCTTAGGTTTCTTCCAAGTCTTGGCTATTGTGAACAGTGCTGCAACAAATATGTGAGTGCAGGTATCTCTTCAATATACTGATTTCCTTTCTTTTTTGTATATACCCAGCAGTGGGATTGCCAGATCATATTGTAGCTCTATTTTTAGTTTTTTTGAGGAACCACAGAACTGTTCCCCTAGTTATTACATGAATTTACACTTCCAGGAGTGTACAAGGGTTCCCTTTTCTCTACATCTTTGCCAGCATTTGTTGTTGCCTGTCTTTGGATGTAAGTTATTTTAATTGGGGTGAGATGATATCTCATTGTAGTTTTGATTTGCATTTCTCTGATGATCAGTGATGTTGAGCACTTTTTCATATGCCTGTTTGTCATTTGCATATCTTCTTCTGAGAAATGTCTTTTTAAATATTTTGCCCATTTTTAATCAGATTATTAGATTTTTTTCCTATAGAGTCGTTTGAGCTCCTTATATATTCTGGTTATTAATTCCTTGTCAGATGAGTAGTTTGTAAATATTTTCTCTCATTCTGTAGGTTTGTCTCTTCACTTTGTTGATTATTTTATTTGCTGTGCAGAAGTTTTTAGTTTGATATGATCCCATTTGTCCATTTTTGCTTTGGTTGCTTGTGTTTGGGAGGTATTACTCCATAAATTTCTGCCCAGACCAATGTCCTAGAAAATTTCCCCAATGATTACTTATAGAAGATTGATAATTTGAAGTCTTATATTTATGTCTTTAATCCATTTTGATTTGTATTTTTGTATTGGTGAGAGATAGGGATCTGGTTTTATTCTTCTGCATATGGATATCCAGTTTTTCCACACCATTTATTGAAGGGACTGTCTTTTCCCCAGTGTATGTTCTTGGCACCTTTGTTGAAAATGAGTTCACTGTAGGTGTGTGGATTTGTTTCTGGGTTCTATCTTCTGTTCTATTGATCTATGTGTCTGTTTTTATGCCAGTATCATGCTGTTTGGTTACTATAGTTGTGTAGTATAGTGTGAAGTCAGGTAATGTGATTTCCTCCAATTTGTTCTTTTTGCTTAGGATAGCTTTGACTGTTCTGGGTCTTTTGTGGTTCCATATAAACTTTAGGATTGTGTTTTTTATCTGTGAAGAATGCCATTGTATTTTGATAGGGACTGCATTGGATCTGTAGATTGCTTTGGGTAGTATGGACATTTCAGCAATATTCATTTTTCCAATCCATTAATATGTAATATCTTTCCATTTTTTTGTTTCCTATTCAATTTCTTTTCATCAGTGTTTTATAGTTTTTATTGTAGAGATCTTTCACTTGTTCGCTTAAGTTATTTCTTAGGTATTTTATTTTATTTGTAGATATTGTAAATGGGATTACTCTTTTGATTTCTCCTTCAGATTGTTCACTGCTGTCATACAGAAATGCTACTGATTTTTTATGTTGATTTTGTATCCTGTGACTTTAGTGAATTTATCAATTTGAATAGTTTTTTGATGGAGTCTGTTTTTGCAAACATAACATTATATCATATGCAAACAAGAATAATTTGACTTCTTCTTTTCCAAGTTGAATGGTCCAGAAATGCCATCCAAGAGCCAAAT